GAGAAGTAGCACAGATCTTTGACGGTACTATATATAGATTAATACTTGGAGAACCGGTAAAAACTGAACAAGACCGAATTGCTTGGCAAGGCACTCCACCAACCAGGTCACCGGAAGGTAGCCAGAGGAAAAAGACCTAACTGTGGGGACCAGGAGCAGGTTATAGCCTTTTCGGACTATCTGGATTGTTAGTTTGGAATAGTTGGAGATACTAGTAAATAGTCTGTAAGTGTGTATCAGGGTTTGGGTGAACTCTATAAGAGCAGAAGTAGGTTGTGTAGCAGCAATCAGAAAACTGGGCCGCAAGTGGTAGGCCTCAGTCTGTGCGTATCAACTGAAGCCTAGGTCAGCTGGATTGTGGGTACGGAAGGCTCTAGCAGGTTTATCCTGAGAATAAAATTGTTTTAAGGTAGTTACTTAAAATGGTATTATAGAGAGATTATGTATATAAAAATATATGTACAATAGATATAAATTATCTAGTTGTAAAAGTAGTCTATACAATAATAAAAGTACTTAACCAAAGAGGTCACCTTAACACCAAAAAAAAAAAAGATAAATGCCCAACAGTTTCCAAGAAGCCTGAAAAAAAAGTATTAAAAATGTATTTATAAATCGAAGAACATAATAAAGGCAAATGAAAAACATATGCCCGAATAACTAAATAAATGCCACTCACAATTCTCATGAACGTCCTAGAAAAAAAAGCACTGTTAATAACACATTAATAAGAAAAAAGCAAGAATAATACTCCGAACTAAATCTAACTTCTATTATTTAACGCTGTCCAATATTGTTGTATAATGACACGTCAGCAACAAAACTAGATACAAGAGACTGCTTTTCTGACCAGGGCCGTCATTGCCAATATACAAAAAGCAATACCTAAATGATGTACCTATAATGACACAAATTCCCACTAACAACAGCAACAACCATAGTGATATATATTTCACTAATGCATCAACAATGAAGCAAAATTACAACACCAACTCCAAACAATGGCTCTAGTAATAATGACGATATTAACTCCAAGTGAAGGATCTAGTACAGATAATACCAACAATGATTACAACCTGAAACTGTTGCAAAAAAAAATTAGTGCTTAGTAAAACACATTGAAACAAAAAAAAATTCAACTGATAATCAGTTGATAATCACTATTTATATTCTGTGATTTATAATACATGATGTACCAAAATATAAATTTTTTAAATTTATTAGTAATTTATATATAAAATAAAAAAAGTAATTTTTTAAAAATATAAAATTAAAATTTCTAAGATTATTTACTAAATGAACAGTTCTTGAAGAATTAATAAAAGTTGTAGCAACTATCAATATAGTTCTAATAATAGTTAAAATGCTAAATTCAGTCTATATATCAAAAGTTATAAGCGATTTATATCTTGTAATTATATAAAATTTTTATATAGATTTACAAAAAAATTTATATGATTGTAAAATATAAGTCACTTATAACTTTGATTTACTAAACCAAATTTAATATTTTATCATTATTAGAACTATATTAATAGTGACTACAAATTTTATTAATTCTTAAGAGCTGTTTACTTAATAAATAATTTTAGAAATTTAATTTTATATTTTAAAGATTATAATAAATTTTATTTAAAATTATACTTATTTAATTATTAAAATTTTTAGAAAATAAATAGATAAATAATAAAAAAAGATAAAAAAAGAAAAACAAAGTATAAAAAATAAATAAATAAATAAATGTTTTAAAATTTTAAAATTTTAAATAGTTTATATTGCATTTACAGAAATAAAAAAGTGGTATTAAATTTTATAAATTTTATAGAATTTTCTTTTACTAATACAAAAAAATTTTATATATTAGCATAATTTAATAGTGCTCATCAAAATCGAGTAAAAACTTGATTATTGAGTTTGAGCAGTACAGATCAGATCTTAAATTATTAAATTATTTTTAGTCATTTTTACTGTTACATACATACGTCATATCAAAATGTAATACTTATCACTTATTAGACTTTAGACTCGACAAATTTTAACTCTATTTTATATGTACTAAAATTGAATAGCTTATTCAAACTTTATTTTTTTAAATACTTCAGGTTTTTAGTTTGCAAAGATCTTTAGATTAGTAGACTTTTTTATTTTACTTCTCTTGCAGTCTATCTTTCTCATTTTTTCGTGTGGTTCTTTCTGGCTTCCCTTGATCTTGTGGTATGTATGGTTCTTTGTTTTTTTTTTGATTGTTTTTTTAACTTTAGCTCTAACTGTCTATTCTTTCTGTCATTTATGGTCTTTGTATAGATTTTCTTCTCATTCTTTCGTGTAGTTCTTTCTGGCTTTTCTTGATCTTGTGATATGTATGGTTCCTTGTTTTTTTTTTTAATTTTTTTTTATCTTTGGTTCTAACTGTTTTCTCTTTCTGTTGTTTGTGAGATTTTTTTCTTATTCTTTCATATGGTTCTTTCCAGCTTCTCTTGATTTTGTGGTATGTATGGTTCTTTGTTTTTTTTTTGTTTTTTTTATCTTTGGTTCTAACTGTCTTCTCTTTCTGTCATTTGTAGTTTTTGTGTGGGTCTTCCTTCTTATTCTTTCATGTGGTTCTTTCTGGCTTTTCTTGTTTTTCTGGTATATATGGTTCTTTGTTTTTTTTTTGTTTTTTTTATCTTTGGTTCTAACTGTCTTCTCTTTTTGTCATTTGTAGTCTTTGCGTGGATTCTTCCTTCTCATTCTTTCATGTGGTTCTTTCGGGCTTCTCTTGGTCTTATAGTATCTATAGTTTTTTGATTTTTTTGATTTTTTTTATCTTTGGTTCTAACTGTCTTCTCTTTCTGTTATTTGTGGTCTTTGCGTGGATTTTCTTCTCATTCTTTCATGTGGTTCTTTTTGGCTTCCCTTGATCTTGTGGTATGTATGGTTCCTTGTTTTTTTTTTAATTTTTTTTTATCTTTGGTTCTAACTGTCTTCTCTTTCTGTCATTTGTAAGATTTTCTTCTCATTCTTTTGTGTGGTTCTTTCCAGCTTCTCTTGATCTTGTGGTATGTATGATTCTTTGTTTTTTGATTTTTTTTTATCTTTAGTTCTAACTGTCTTCTCTTTCTGTTATTTGTGGTCTTTGTACAGATCTTTCCTTCTCATTCTTTCGTATAGTTCTTTCAGGCTTCCCTTGGTCTTGTAGTATATAT